CCCTAATCAGACACCGCCCTGCCAGGGGGACGCTCCACGCCGACTGAACCACCGCCTCCCCGACACGGACACGCTGTCCCCTAATCAGACACCGCCCTGCCAGGGGGACGCTCCACGCCGACTGAACCACCGCCTCTCCGACACGGACACGCTGTGCCCTAATCAGACACCGCCCTGCCAGGGGGACGCTCCACACCAACCAGCTGGGAACTCTGCCTCCTCCTTGGCCTCTGCATGCTGGCAGCCGTCTGCTCCCTATGGCTTCATCGGCTGGATTACCACGCTTGGGTGGAGCGCTGTGGGCCTGCCGCTACTACCAGCCCCCTCGCCATAAGTGCACAGCTGACTGTGGTCCCGATCGTGAATGAGGGCCGTCTGACTCCTCCACAGAGGGCCTTCAAGCACCAGCTGTTCTCCATCCTCTGGGCTTGTCCCGCATGTTTTATTTGACCTGTTGCAGTACTGAGGACATCCCAACACTGAAAATCTTCAGCTTCAAAGCTGTCCAAAGTGGCATATAAGTGAGGCAAATATTACATCAGAAGCATACAGCTATCAAGGCGTGGACCTGGGTACAAAAGTATTATGGGACATCAGAGCCGGATATCAGAGAAGCTACAGAAGTCACCACTGCGTGGGGACGAGGATCCTGCCAGACCATGCTCCTGATTTTAACGAGCCTAGCGGCTGGATGGATCTCGCCAGCGTCAGTGTGGGAGGGTCTGTCTGACCGAATGGTAATGAGACACATGAAATGACACTTTGTTCCGACAGTAATTCCAGGCTCTTGTAGAGAATGTCACCTGACAGCACTCAGCCTGTAAATGTTACTGCATCGCTGACAGTCTCACGCCCTGAGAAGATCTGTATCTCTCTTATGGTAACCAAACACACTCCAGAGTGATACCTTCTCAGTTGTGTCCACACAATGAAATAAACTGCAGAAATGTTACCACTGATCTTCTGTAATTTGAGGATAATGATTTCATGTAAGGTTCTTAATCTTAATGATTTGGGGATTATATTAGAATGTTGTACGATGTTAGCATGTCCGGGGGGGTTGGGCAGCCAGTTGACCTTGGACCCCCCGAGATTTTTTTTTTTTCCCCTAACTCAGGAATTTGTGGTTCCTCCCCACCTTGGGGGGACTCCAATGTGAAAGACACTATATAAATATGAATTGCGTTGGACTGAATTGAATATGCCGCTGTTTTATACAGGGTTATCTAATGTTAAGTGGTGTGTTGTGATCCTCTCTGTTTAGTACTGAAAACAGGTTCTCGTCTAGCAATTTGCCAGCCTTTGCATGTATCGTGACATGGGAGAACGTTCTGGTAACCGGTAACACTGGATCTGTTTGTCTCGGATGTTTTTTTTAGGGTGGGTGGGGTGGAGGGGGTGTAATGATGAAAGAGGACGTGTCATTTAGTGAAAATGTGGCATGACGTGTCCGGGCCTGGCCCAGGGGAGCGCGATGTGGAGGACGAGAGCTTCGCAGGCTCCCAGGACATCTTGCTGAATCAGAAAGGAGCTTATTTCTGTATCTCGGGAGGAAAAAATAAATCAGGAAAACTGACAAAAAAGTGACGTGTATGATAAATGAAGAGGCACAAATTAAGAATGCGGTTTATCCAGCATGCTGAAAATGTGGCCTGTTTATGTGTCCCGTTCTGGCAACCCGATGTCTGCATTAGTCTGCCCAGCATGTTCCCGCGGGCAGAGGAGCTGTCCTCATTACGGGGGACTGCTCATTTGTCCACACGGAGGGCATTCTTAATTATGCCCGAAATTTACAAGCAGTGTCAAACACGGCATGCCCTTGGCGCATACTGTAGCCATTGAAATGTTAATGAGGGCACTGGGGGGGTCTGTACATTTCGATAGCTTATTCGACACCAAAGTGTCTAGGCAAGGACACTGGGACATGGGGCGAATGCTTACAGGAGGATGAGCTGTGTGTGTGTGTGCGCGTGCGTGTCTGTGTGTGTGCGTGTGTGTATGTGCTCTGCAGTGGAGCACTTTCTGGGAACAATCTGATTTAATATGAATTCACAATCTGCTCCTGATATCTCAGTATGATAAAAAGCTTTTCAAATGCAAAACACATTGTGCTGTTTCTTCTTCACGCATTTTTTCCCCTTGAGGCTCAAAGACCTGATGTTGTAAATGGCTCCTCTCACGCTGAGCGCCAAATTCGTGCATGCAAGGCTGCTACGGTGGAAATGCGAACGTCAATCCACCCCCGATCCGCCGCTGACGCTCATCAGTCATTCTGGACAGTCATAGTATTTTTGCATTTTATCAGGACTGTGTTCTAGTGGTCAGGAATGGCCCAATGCATTGGTGAACAAAGAGGCTGCTTAGAACCCAGCGGCCACCAGGGGGCACCCTCATCTGATCAGCCTGTCAGAATGGGAAAATAACAAATGATAAACAGGTTAATCATAATTTTCTTAGGCCCCCAAAAAGGATGGGGTTGCCCTGCTTGTAGTGATGTCAGTTTTCTGGGTCCAGCTTGTCCCTCTTACTAGATTCCTCTATTATGTATGATAGGGCTGCACGATATCACATCTCAGTGTAATCTCAGTTACATGCTGCATGTGCAATAATCACCAGCGCTTCATATGACAGGTGTAAACATTTGTCTGGACACTGGCTTTTCGGTACAATATGTTTATTAAATTAAACATAAGGATACGCCAAATATACTGTATATAGATTACTAATTTTTGGGCATCACGAAACACCTGTCATTAATATTCTAGGCGTACTAATCTGCTTACCAAATTGTGGGCGTAAGTAAACATCCATATAGTACCAGCAAGCTGGTGTCCAGACAAACGTTTATGCCCATGATCTAAAGCCCTGGTGATTATTGCTTGTGCCCCATGGAATCATGATGCGATATCGTGCAGCCCTAATGTTTAACATGCTGTAGCCTTGCTTTGCACTGTGACACATCTCTGGTTCTCTCAGGGAGCTTAAACCAAGACAACTGGGCCAAGCGGTACCCGTCCTGCAGCAGCGCCAAGCAATCACCCATCAACATTGACGATGACCTCGCCCCGGTCATGCTACAGTTCCAGGGACTGCAGCTGGAGGGCTTCAAACAGGACACCCCAGAAGGCACCACCATCCACAACGACGGGAAGACTGGTGAGAGCGCCCCCGCCTGTACACTCCCAAACGTCACACTAAGCTCAGGGCTCCACTCTGGGTGATGCGTCACCAGAGCAAAGATCTTATGTCCAGAAATGGTCGCTTTCATGGCATCTGCCAGTCAGTGGGTAAAAGCCAGTGTTTAACGTGTCAGTGCTGTGCGGCGTGTTGTCGGTCAGTGCTGGGCTACTGCACCCAAGGCAGTTTGGATAAAACCCTAATGATCATCATCATCACCATCATTATCATCGTCACCGTCATCATTGTTAGCATCATTATCACCGCTGTCATCATCGTCGCCATCATCATCACCACCGTCATCATCGTTAGCATCATCATCATCATCATCATCACCACCGTCATCATCGTTAGCATCATCATCATCATCATCATCACCACCGTCATCATCGTCGCCATCATCATCATCACCACCGTCATCATCGTCGCCATCATCATTGTCACCGTCATCATTGTTAGCATCATTATCACCGCTGTCATCATCGTTAGCATCATCATTGTCACCGTCATCATCGTTAGCATCATCATCATTATCATCGTCGCCATCATCATCATCACCACCGTCATCATCGTCGCCATCATCATTGTCACTTGTCATCATCGTTAGCATCATCATCATTATCATCGTCGCCATCATCATCATCACCACCGTCATCATCATCATCACCGTCTTACGGTAGTCTCCTGACCTTCATTCCACTCAAATCACCCTAATGCTCTGTGTTTCTCTCCCCCAGTTGCTATCAGCCTTGATGCCGAGTACTACATCACCGGCGGGGGACTGAGGTCCAGGTTCAAGGTGGGCAGGATTACCTTCCACTGGGGCACGTGCAACGCATCGTCCGATGGCTCCGAGCACAGCCTCAATGGTGTCAAGTTCCCCCTGGAGGTACTTACAGTGGGCCGCCCCTTGGGTTCCTCACTGGGCATCCATGCTTTTAGTGGCCATAACCACTTCAGCTGCTAGTTGTGATCTTTACTTTTCAATGTAGCTCAGTTACTGAGCACGGTCCTCAAGGACGGTGTCCAACTTTAAGGTGCCAACTGTTCCTCTGACAGATGCAGATCTTTGGCTACGAAGCGGGAGAGTTTAAGTCGATCGATGATGCTCTGAAGGAGGGGGGAAAGCTGACCGCTCTGTCTGTGCTCTTTGAGGTGAGTCTGATTATAGGATCTGTGCAGAAGGAACCATTTGGGTGTCCTTATACCTGCCTGATTGTCTGTGTGGGAATGTGGGTTTGTGAACAGTAAACATGGGATGTAAATAGTTAGTGACCCCCCCCCTTACTGAGAAGGCAGGCCAGATCATCTTTTTTTCTTGCAGAGGTATGAGGTCATAAAGCATGGAGGTGCCACTGATCATGGTGGCACCGATCTCTTCGTCACAGGACCCTTGGCGGTCAAAGCACCTCATTTATCATGTCTGCTTGCCGGTAGCTGAGTCAGGGCATGTAGAGGTCGCTAGGAAGAGCTGTGGTGGTAATTACCCATAATTCCCAGCAGGCCACACATCTCCGTAGGATGCTGACCCCTGCAATGAACGAGCATATCTATGAAATATACCCCTTGTCCCCCTTATGGTGTGACACTCTTTTTTACACTTGACTAGATGAAGTGTAAAATGTCTCTCTTCTGTTCCAGACCAGCGCAGTTGATAACGAGAACTATGAATCTATTATCAACGGTGTCAACGCTGTCAATCGATTTGGTATGTCACATGGGAACGAGGCACCTGTCAGTCATGTGACCTTTGGTTTTGATACAGCAACCAATGAATTTTCTACATTTTTCAGAGACATTCTAAGCATGGGAGGGTTTGTTAATGGACCTTGTGGTCTGACGGAGCTGTAGGCGTCCGAAGTGTGTGTCCGGCTGTCAAAGCACGGCCTGGCTGTGATGCGCGTGATGGTGAATTCCTCTCTCCCGCCATCTTCCAGGTAAAACCGCCACTCTAGAGCCCTTCTCCTTGCTGGGCCTGTTGCCAAACTCCACGCAGAAGTACTATGCCTACAACGGGTCCCTGACCACGCCGCCATGCTCGGAGACCGTGGAGTGGATCGTCTTTAGAGACACGGCGTCCATCTCGGAAACCCAGGTGAGCGGGAGGTTCTGTGCCACGATGTGTCCATGCACGTGAACACGTGAGTCAGCAAAGTGCGGATTCCTGCAGGTCTGCGTGTTTGTGCGTGCGTGTCTCTGTCTTTGTGCTTTCATGTTGACGAGCGTGTGCTTATCTGCTGGGTTTCCCAAGAGATCCGTGCCAATCACATATCTGGGACCAAACAGGGGTGTTAATCACCACTCAAACCGTGCATTTGCATGGGGCCCCCTGTTGACCAAAAACAGCCACTACACTAAATATTAAACAAACCCGTTCCTTGTTTAGGAGATGCTGAAGGGGCGCGTTCTGCTAACCAGCCAGCTCACTCCGATCTGACTCTACTGGCTGGGGTGAAAACAAAAACAACAAACCGGCCCCTTCATCTCGCTCGTGTCTAAGGCCCTCCTCGTGCGTGCGGACCTTTTGAGGCCACATCTGTGGGACCCCTGGGCTTTGTCTCAGCTGCAGACAAGGCTGCATCATCAATATTTCAGTGGTGCGGCAGTAGTGAGGGGATTTGTCAGGGGCTCAGGGTTTGTGGCGACCTTTTTTTTAGGAACTAAATTCTCAGTGCATTTTAGCCCTACAAAGGACTAGGGAAACACTGTATTAAATGTCTATGTTGGTTTTTTTATTGTCTTTTGGTTGACTAGTTGTTCTCTGCTGATGTTCCCAGCTAAGGCCCTAAACGATCAACACAGTGCTTATACCTAGGGGCGGGTCATATGGCAAAAATATAATATCACAATTTTTCACAGGCTGGATCACAGTCCACAATCTTTTCACGGTTCTTTTTCATGTTCGTTTTTAAGACTATTTTGCAAGTTACTTAACAGCACAACCAAAAGAATTCCCCTGCTGTAAAAAATACAGCAGTATTGTATAATAAAACCTTAAAGGAAAAACATACTCAGCGTACACTCTGAGGTCTGTTGTGCTGGTATCCCACGTGCCAACTTTATCTTTGTAAAATAATAAAAAAAAAAAAATGTGCAGGTTTTAGAAAATCCAAACAAATTCCATAGTAATGTCAAATTCTTTTTAGGGACCAGCTCCTCCATGTCGTTCATGCCACTACGTTACTAAACAGAGAATGCAGGCGTGAAAGGGAGAGAGTGGAAGGAATCTGAAGCACTACCTACTCTTAGCTATTACTGTTTGTTGGTGTGCCGAAATTAATTTGGCTCACAAAACAACTTTACATACGTGTTTGAGCCATAGAACTGCAACTGACAGAATGTGCATGATACAAACGATCTCTCCGTATGATCATGGAAACATTTCAGAATCATTCACCATCTTGCACAATTGCACACCTGTCTTTATGATCTGTCAGGGACGCTTTACTCTGTGTCAGGCCGTCTCCGTCATGTGGGTGTGTTTTCAGCCAATCCAGAGCCCCGCAGTCTCCGTCATGTGGGTGTGTTTTCAGCCAATCCAGAGCCCCGCATCACACCTTACCGTTCCTGTTTTTAAGCTGGAGATGTTCTGTGAGGTGATGACCATGCAGCAAGCCGGGTTTGTCATGCTGATGGACTACCTGCAGAACAACTTCCGGCAGCAGCAGCCCCAGTTCATGGGCCAGGTGTTCGCCTCCTACACCGGCACAGAGGAGGTCCTCGCGCCTGGTACGTCCTGCCACAGCCCAAACCTCAGCATCTCCTCCGAGGAGCCTGGTTTCTGGTAGTAGAACATCAGACTATTTGTCCTGCTAACTTCACGTCACTGGTTGAGTATTTGTTATGCTTTTGTTAATTACATGGATCAAAGAAAAAGCCTGTTTTGGGGAATAATCAGTACCGTGAGCGATTTTGGTCTGGGGCCCAAAGAATTCTGAGTCTCGGTTCAGCAAACCACGTCATGTGAGGTCACTGACCTGGACAGGACAGTCAGCCGGTGGCATAAATGCCGTCTCAAAGGAGGCTGTGCGTTTTCCATGGTAACGGTTTTATGTTGCTTGGTAACAGAGTTCCCTAGCCTCACACAAGCCAACATCAGTTTTCTGATAATTGTTTTGACCATTTCCTTCTCATTAGCCAGTGCTAAATATATTTTAGTTCTCAACTACAAGTTATTTACTGCAGACTTATATTGGCACACTGCAGACTGTGTAGTGTTCCTCATACTGCAGACTTATACTGCCCTCTTGTGTTTCAGGTAGATAATTTCCTTATAATTATTATTTCTGTTTTATGAACATGTATTTGGCTCCTTTAACAAGATATTAGTTGTTACATATTTTCAGTGCTTTGAATTTCAGCTACAAATTTTATTAGATTTATTTGTATAAACATCAACATTGCAGTTTCGTGGCCTGCAAATAAATAACAGCTGAGTAATGTTTTCACCTGTGATGTTTGTCTGGCCCTCGTCATGCGCGGGACGGCTTTGGCGCGCAGTCTGCAGCTCGGAGCCGGAGAACGTGCAGGCGGAACCGCACAACTACACTGGCCTCCTGGTGATGTGGGAGAGGCCGCGCGCCGTCTACGACCGCGACATCGAGAAGTACGCCGTCACCTACCAGCAGCTGGGGGCCGGGGACCAGCCCCGACTGGAGTACCTGACGGACGGAGACCAGGATGTGGTAAGATGGTGTCACCGTCTGTCACAGAGAGGAAGCAGCCAGCTAAAACAGATATCCATGCTCTTCATCATCATCATCCTAAGATTCCTCTGTCATACATCACTCACCTTAAGACTGAAATCTAAGTTACATAGGTAGTTTATTTATATAGAGCCTTTTAAGAACAAAGGTCACAAAGTGTATCATACGTAATAAAACAAGCATCAAACATCCACAAAGTTTTCAGGTGCCGTTTATAAGACACTGGCTGATTTAAAGTCCAATGGCGGGCTGTTCGACAGCTTTGGGGAAAAAGCTGAATATTTGTTTTTCTTCCACAAGGGGGCGATAATCGAGGACCTTTCGGTCAACGTCAGCTATACGATCCAAGTTGCGGCAGTGTGCACCGACAGTCAGTACGGCCGCGCCAGCGAGCGGCTGGTCGTGGACATGCCCCTGGATGACCCCGGTAAGGCCGACGCCTCCCGCTGATGCCACTGTCTCGGGCCATAATGTGTCGCTGTTTGCGACCCGGAGCTGACCGTGTGTTGTTGGTTTTTGCAAGGATCTCTTGTCCCCCCGTGTCCTGAATCGGAACGGTGAACGTGTTTGTCTCATAAGTGGTCCTGTCTGTGAAATTTTAGGCCAAAATAGGTACTCTGGTAAGTTAAGAGGCAAAGGGCACCCAGGTAACCTGTGTGGAGATACAGGTCGGCACCGTCCTGGATTGTCCCAGATTCCTGTTCAGTAGTGGCAGGAAGACAGAGTCACAAGTGCCAGTGCTGAACCATGAGCACGAGGCTCACCAGACTGCCTCTGCTGTTGGCTTATAGTGACGCTCTCTCTTCTTCCGTGTCTCTGGTGTTGGGATTTTCCCGCTTTGGGATTCTGCTCCCTCTCTCTCTGCTGAACGGACAATGCCCCGTATGCACATCTAGACTGCTTTGCTGCAACACGGAGACGGACGTCCTGTACCTTGGAGATGCACCTGCCGATTAGCTTCTTCTTGTCTATGAAACCTCTTCTTACTATGTTCTTTGATAGTAGGATCTCAGAGTGAAGGAATGTGTGTTGTATTAGATTCTGTAATGCAGAGGCTGAATTCATCTTTCCTGTCTGAGAAACTGTTTTCTCTCATTTCTCTAAGTCCGGAATTCTCTGAAAAGGAGATGTCTGATTGTTCTGTGTGCAGAACTTGTGTGGAATGATGTGTGAGAAGATATTTGTGTATCTGAAGTTTTGTGTAGAGATTCACAATAAAATGATCCATCCAAAGAACCCTGAGTTATGATATTTACATTTCCACGTACACACACGTGCGAGGTCCATGGGTGTACACCTGGCTTTCCCCCTAACCTTGTTCATAAAAGCACCTCAACACACAGAAATCAAAGCAGACTGTGATTTTGTTTTCCATTGTAACGAGCTGGGAAGCTTAACACCGTTCTAACGTAATGGTCCCCCAGCAAGGTAAGTGGCCCCACCATCGCTGTCTTCCTGTCGTTTGTTGGGAGGGTGCATGGGGGTCTGTGGATGTTTTTCTCATCATCCTGTTGTGACCCACAAACATTTCCTCATGTGGCAAGTCTTTGCTGTCAGTTTTCTCCTTCTCAGTCATCTGACAGCTGAGATAAATGTTCCGGAAAACTTCAAGTCCGATTCCTGTGATGCATGACTTGTTTAAAGTTGGCCCAGATGACCCACTGATTAAAATATTTAAATGATTATTTTTTTGATTATATGTTTGTGTCACGATAGACTCCCGAGGGTGATTTCCTCTTCTGAGTGTGACTAGCTTCATGAGGAAGACATTGTCTAGTGTTTGTTCTAAAGGCCGTAATGGTTACAGGAATCCCAGTCTACTCACAAAACATCAAATTGGCTGAAACCTCATATGGGAATTTGCATCGTGAATGCAAATTGGTTTTAATGTGCTATTTTATTGTGGTCATGTGACTTCCTTTAATGACATTAGTTTTCAAGCTTCAGTTCAGTTAATGTGTGTGTGTGTGTGTGACATGTGAACATAAAACCCCAAGCCCATTCTAGCCCTTGTGACCTAAATATGGTAATTCTTTCTGTTTTTTTATATATATATCTCCTCTGTATTGTTTCTAATGCCATAATCATCCATTTTCCATCAGAGACCAAGAGCGATTCTGATCCTGACCATGGCTATTTAGATTACACTGAAACAGAGGATGACAATAAGGTAACTAATAAAAGCCATCAGTTATCATTACAATCACTGCTCATGGAGCGACTGAGGTCTGTTGCAGTGACATTAATGTCATTAAGAGACGGACGCTCGCTGAATATCACGGTAGCCTAGGAGTAATCACCACTGTGCGTATTACTTTACGTCAGTGTTCCATGCTCGATTTCTTTTGTCCTCCGTGAAGTGGACATTTTAAACAACAATTTCTGCATTCTACTTCAAAAATCTCCAATTCTATGACATTTGGTCATAAATGTGCACATTGGTTGGGAAATTTAATTACTACTGCTGTTTTTGTGCATGAAGGTAGTCACTAAAAGGGGAGTAGTTAGTATTATTATTATTATTGTTTTATTATTATCCTTTTTCCTCTGTCCCCCGTAAAGCGCCTTAAACCGCCCTTCACCACTTCCTGCTCCTGAATCATGTGAGGCCCCGGATGTTAATCGTTTAACATGCACTGTTGTGTATTTCAGCTAAATGCAGAAATACACCAACCTGACCGGAAGCAGGCGACGGTAGAAGAGCCGACCCCGTCCAGTTCGTTCCGGCCCAACTTCCTGTTCCCTGGCGTCACGACTGCCTTGCCAGTCCTGAGGAGGATCACAGCGGAGTATTCGCCTTCCTGGTCCATGGAGCAGACCCACATGAGGGGGAACACGGAGCCGCCCACAGCCGGACAGGGCCGACGAATGGGAGGCCTTGTCACCAGCGCTTACCTTGATGACGTTCTCACCAAAGCGGCTTCTGCAAGTTCTGCCGCAACTCTGACGTCTACTGCTAGTAACTGGGCCCTCTATGGTCCAGGGGTCCCCACGCTGGAGAGCGTGATGTCACATCCTGCTACTGAATCGACCCCCATCCCGGAGATCCTGGCGGGCCAAACCTCCTCGGCCCCCCTCTTTGGCGTCCCACTGTGGCCCACGAGCCCAGTTTCCCAGCAACCCCCGAGTGCCACACCCTCCGAAACTGTCTCCCAGACCACCAATGGTGAGGCCGCTGTGTGTGGCTCTCCTGCGCTCCGCCCTCACGCAGACCCTGTCACATGCCTGCATGCTAGCTCTCTGTCGCCCCCTCCTTCCGCTGCTGTGTCCTATCAGACCCATCCGAGCTTGCCCCCTGATGGTTGGAGGCTGCCTGACAGTCAGTCTGGAGTGGTCTGGGGAGCATCCTTCAGCACGGAGATGCCGCTGTCTGGTGGTGGTCTGTCTCTCACCCCCCTGTCTCCCTCCACCCTGCTTCTGCACACCTCTTCCCACACCGTGTCTGGCTGGGCCTCGGGTGACGTCAGCGGTGGTTGGGGTAGTGCTAGTGATGAGGAGGATGGTGATGATGGTGACCTAATGTCTGGTTCATCGATTTTGGCCACAGGTGATCCTCAGATAATGTCTAGTCATACTTTACCCCTTCAAACTTTACCTGATTCATCTGCCACTGGGCAGCAGTCTGGCTCTGACCTGGACCGAATTCACTTCTCTGAGCAGCTGAGAACCTCGTCCAGCCCAAATGCACTCCCGTCCTCCATTCCGGACCCCCTTCAGCCCTCTGTTACTTTACCCAGTGATTTTGCTTTGATGGTAGCAACCGATGAACTCGCAGAGTCTTTCACAAGATGGTATAGCGGCAGCCAGCCAGCAGGGGGCGTTAGTCGCGGGGCCGGGCACGTGGAGCCCTCACTGATCCGTAGCGGCGCTTGGGGGTCTGTGGCGGTGAGCCGGGAAGCAGGTTCGCCGCCGCCGCCATCCCCTGTCGCCTCTGACTTTGCGACTCCTCCCTGTAGCTCGGTTCCCGGCGAGCCCTCGGCTAGGTGGGACGCTCTGCATGCTTCTCTCGCTCTCCTGTCGCCTCCAGCCGGCCTCGAGCCAGGTGGCCAGGCCGGCAGCCTGTCCCCCTCCCCCGGACTGTCCCCCTGCTCCTCTGCTAGCTTAGCTGTCCCCCCTCTGCTTCCCTCTGCCATCGCTGGGGCTCTTGGTGACGCGGGTGATGCGGAGGGCCGCTCCACGCGGGGTCCCGTAGGTCTGCCGGCCTCTGCTGACGCGTGCATTTCTGTTGCAGTGGTCCCGGCCAGCGCCCAGAGCCCCACGCCAGTCCTCACTTGGGCCCTGCCCACAGATTCCCTTCCCCCCTCCCCCAGCGCCTCCCTGGAAAGTGGCTCCACCCCCACGGAGGGGCAGGCTGACAGTAGTGCTTCAGGCTCCGCGGTGCACCCGGACTCCCAGGAGGATGTAGATCAGGAGTTGGAGGGGGGCCGGGTCTATGAGATGGCCACACCCACCAGTCCCCCCTCAGCACCGGACCCGGCGGTGGTGCCGACCGGCAAGGGGCAGGACAGCGACGACAGATACAGTGGGCGCTCCTCGTCGTTCTACTTTGAGGCCGAGAACGAGGGCAGTAGCAGCACCGGTGAGATGGAGGAGGCGGAGCCCAGGCCACGGATGCTGGGCAGGGCCGAGGAAGGCAGCGCCTCAGGCCAGGGCTCGTCCGGGAGCCTCTACGACAACGAGACCTCCACAGACTTCAGTATCTCAGAGTACTCAGGCAGGCAGTCTGAGGATGCCACGGAGGCAGGTAAAGCTTGTTGGCCCTCCACAAGGGGGAGCCGCATCCTTAGAGGCAGGTTAGCACTCTGATGGGGTACTGCCACAGGCCGCATTGGCAATGTGCGGAATCGCAGGGCAACCGATTGATTAACTGGTGAAACTCAGTCCGCTGAAACGCCAGCGCCTGACTACCCGTCTGAGATCCAGTGACACATGGGTAAGGTAAGGTTTGGGGGTTAACCAGAACTCGCACTGTGATCACCGTGGCCCTTTGAACAGCGGATTGTAGGTATAAAATGACACGATAAACTCCAGGGACGTCACACTCGCCTCAGAGCTCTGTACCGTCTTCTTCAGTTTGGGATTTTTGCATTTTTGAAAGAAATGCATCTGACCCCCAGACTTAACAGCAGAAACCGAAGCAGCCATATTATGGGAATAATGTTTATACTTAACATTAGGATTTCTGTATGAGTTTGGGTTATTTAAATTAATAGATCACTACTCCCAAAAGCTAAATTATAAGCATAAAAAAGCCAAGAGGTGAAGAGGAATTGTGGGTATTCTTTTGCATAAACCATCTTGACTTAATTGACACATTAGCAGGTTTCATGTTTATTTAAAAACAATTAGGACTGATGCAAAGTTTGCTTTGAACAGGCTTGCTGGCCAGCTGACCAGCATTGAAACCTCTCATGGTCCAGATGTTTTGGAGGTCTGAGACACTGTGAGAGAAGGTTAAGGTTAAACAGAGGGGATAAAAGGAACCAAATTACACTTAAACATCCTATGGAAATTAGACCTTCATGTCACCTAAATAGTGCTCAAGTACCAGTCTGTCCATCAGTTATGACAGAAATTTTCCACATGGTGGCAGCAGATCACCATCCTCTACTGGCTGTCAGATCAACAACAAACTTCTTCTTTTCAAAAGCTGTCCAGTTGTCTTCTAAGATTACATTCTGTATTCTGCAACATCACTTTGGCTTGCCATGCACTTCTCTTGCATTTGATTTCTGCTTAGAAAGTGACTGATTTCCTGCCTTGAGTTCTGTGCGGACAACGGTTTGATGATTTCTGTGTCGGCACAAGAACAAAGCTCTGCTTCACTTTGCTAGTAGAGGGGACAGGGAATGAGGCCTGGGGGTGCTGTAGTGAAGCCAGTGCTTCGTGGGAGCATGGAGGGGTAGATGTAATAATGAGGGAATCTGTCTTAGACCACATTTCTTGCCAGTCCGTCACATTTGAACTCCTTTAAAAAGAAGCGTGTGTTTTATCCTAGCAAAAAAATTACAGTCCTGTCTGTTATGTTGATGTTTATCATTTTTCAAGGAGAGTTCCAGGCACATAGACAGGTAATAAAATTACCTGTTTTCCCCCAAACCTAATCCTACTCTCCTTGAATTTATTTCTGGCTATGCGCCTGGTGAGCAAATGCGGTAAATATTGAGGTGCCTGATACGATATTTACATGCCAATGAGGTGCCTGATATGGTATTTACATGCCAATGAGGTGCCCTCGTCTTCCTCAGAGGTGAGCGACAGCAGCCCTGAATCCCGGATGGCGCCGGCGGGGCTGGAGAGCCAGGGGAGGCAAGCTACTATCCCGTTGGCCGTGGTGGCTGCACTCACCCTCCTGAGCCTGCTGGTGCTGGTGGGAATCCTCATCTACTGGAGGTAAAGCCAGAGTTGTCCCCCGTAACCTTCACGCCTCTGTGATCCTCATAGGTGACTCTAGGCTTCTCTCCCTGGGGGTGCAATGTGACAGAGCCCAACCAGTCATCCGTAACACGCCGCGTCAAACTGAGCTACATGTAACAAATAAATACATTTACAATAAATTATTAAATTTAGCATAAATGTAGCATAAGCCACATTTCAAATATAACTGTGCAATATTATAAAATTTTATTAAACTTAATATGGTCAAATACCTTTTAATCTGACCAGTAGGGGGTGCAATTGTACCCCTGGTATAATCACCTGTGCCTCTCTTGACATGCTGTTTGAGGTGTTAAGCACTCTCTAAACCAGCAAGATGGTGGCTTCCAAACACTAACTCTTAAGTCCTAAAACCTGTAGCTTGCTGGGTGTCGAAGACCAGGGTTGGCCTAAGACTTATGGTGGATTTGTAAGAGGTGTGGAGCTGACGTATGTCATCCGCCAAATGCCGGCCCACAGCTGGACAGTTAGGGCCCAGTGTACAGCTGGATCCAGATGATGCTATGAATACTTCAGTGCTACAGTTAATGTGTATGTATGACACACTGGGAAGATGTGGAAAGAGACAGCAGAATAGATCCTTTTGTTCCCATAATGCTAACATTCTATTAATATTAACCCCGAATCCACAAAAGCCATTACAGGCAGAGAGGAGCTGGTGCATGAGTTTTTCATGTTACTGTGCTCTCCTAAGGCAGTATCACACTAAATGCCTTCATTCTCATTCAAACGCTCATTCTCCACTCTTCAATACTGATGATGAAATACTTACAATGTTGACCTTTAATGCAAGTCCACGTTTTATAGATAGTAATATTCCACTTCAGCTGCTGCAGTGATATACCTGTTAAACATTTAATCTTTCAGCATTATATAATCACTTGAACTAAATTTAAAATGTTTACTTTTTTCTTTTTTACTGTCAAACTAGGGCATAAAACGTACTTGACCTGCTTTAGCAGTTTTATTGTTAGATATTTAAAATGACACGGCAGCATAAATATTAGGTGGATAAGACATTGGGCATTTGAGCTCTGTCGTATTTTTCCGTCTCTGCTGGAAAAGCAGCGATGCACACGTTTGTGTTACGACAAAAAAAAAAAAAAAAAACAGATCGCCAGTAATCTCTGACAGATGAATGCTGTCGTATTGTCTGACAGATGTAGAAAATGCCCACTTGATGTGCAGTGGGAAGGTCATGGCTGGGTAAGGTAAACATCCCGCACATATGTTTACAGCGGCGTCTTAATATTTCCCATCCTGCTTTTCTTTGGTGCTCATTTCATTCAGTCTAGCTGCACATTTCGTGTCCTCTTTCAGTGGAGATCAGAAAAGGCGGAAGGCAAACCGAATCTGCCTCGGCGTCCTGTGAGGGTGGCTGTTTATCTGCCTGCTTAATAAATCCCTTGTTATCTCTTAGCAGCATAATGCAAATTTAATCGCGCATCGTATAAACAGCCTGTAAAAACTTGCTTGGATTAAATTAAACACAACATCTGTTGAAGAATTTGAGAAGATCAGGAGTGATATTCAAAAGGGAAAAGTGCATGTAACTGAAATCTATTCATTTAGCTCCATTTGCCTGGTGCAGCATTATCGCTGAGTTGTCCAGGGCTTCTCGGACTCCCCTTCTGCTTATCATAATAATGATGATAATTCTGTGGCTGTTTGACAGGACGTGCTTTCAAACCGCTCACTTCTACATCGAGGACAGCTCCTCTCCCAGGGTTATCCGCTCCGCAAACGCTCTCATGCTCCCGTCTGCAGGTACCGAAAAAAAGATGCATTAACCAATCACAGTTTAAGAGATGAATGTGCTGCAGCCCCAAAACATTACTATTATTCTCTTTACTTGATGGTAAAGGTTTGTGACTGTCAGACGTTGCTTTTGAATGTACTTACATCTGCTTCACAGCACGTTCTGGCTCCAGTCCAGGCCATTACAGAGACTACCTGTTAATTGCTAAGCATCTGTTTTGATGTGTACTTTCGGAAGCTACTACACCTGCAGCTCCTAAAGCCTAATTAAATCTGCAAAAATACTGGTAAGAGAGCCGGGCTGTTTGTACATGCTAAGTCGTACCATTGTCCCCCTTCTCGTGGCATTTTCCCCCAGATGACCACCCGGCTGTCTCCGCAAAGCAGTTCGTCAAACGGGTGGCTGAACTTCACAGCTCCGACGGCTTTTCTCGGGAGTTTGAGGTATGCTCCGAGACCAAGCCGTCTGTATTACCCACCCCTTCTACTCGCTAAATTTAGTCCTCCTCCATATAGAGACCCCCTCCACCCCCGACTGGTGTAGACACCGTATTCACCCTACCGTGACGTTTCAGGTCATCTCCGTCAATATCATTTTCAGTAGATACACAACAACTGTCTCGTAGCTGAACATGACATTCGTGTCAGTATTGAGCTTTAATTTCTGTTGAAGGCCGATTATAAAATGTGAAGCGGGTGTCCTGAGTGAGATGTTCTGTTTGCTGCATTTCAGTGTTTGTTTTGTAGCTCTCTTGTCCCACGCGCCAGGGACATCAGCGAGAGCTGTGGGCCTACTGACAGTGACATCACTGCCGGCCAATTAAAACACACTTAGCTCTTAACTGACAAGGCTGCGCCTGCTTATTAATAAATGTACCCTTGTTTGCTTTCTGCTGCAAAACTTCATTTCCCTGCTTTCTGTGCTCTCACTCTCCTCATTAGATACTGAAAGAGTTCTATGAGGTAAGATCCATTTCCACTTTTCGAATTAGTGTAGTTTTACAGAAGGTCTCCTGTCCCTCTAACGATATGAATGTAGCATGTAGCTTTTTTTCCCTGAATGGTTGGTCAGTGACATCACCGCGGTCCAGCTGGTGCACTAATGGTGGTTTTCATCTTCCTATTCCAGGAGATCCAGGCAGGCACTCTGGACCTGGGCATCACCGTGGACAGCTCCCAGCACCCGGACAACAAGAACAAGAATCGATACCTCAACATCCTGGCCTGTACGTACAGGAGTGTTTGCCTGAACCCTCTCCCCAAGCTTGACCGGTCACTGTTATGAGAGCACTTTCTCTCTCTTTCAGACGATCATAGTCGTGTCAAACTGTCCTCCAGTCCTGGTAAAGAGAGACGGAGTGGAGATTACATCAATGCCAATTACGTGGATGTGAGTGCTTCTTCCTGTTGTATCTCTTCATATTTTACGTGTGTATATGTTTAATTGGTCTTCTGGGAAATTAGTAAAGTTAATCTGTCCGTCTACCTATGATCATCATGGCAGTATTCATTTCTTATTTGTCTTTTACATTTTGCAGTCTTTATTTTAATGGCTTCATGAAGACCTGCTTTATTTGGCGAAGATGAGTGTATCATGTGAAATTCCCTTTGATAGACATGATGGAATTTGACACAGAATTGGCTCATTCTCCTGTAGTCAGTCTCTGCAGTGTCTCAGCCTCTGACTGCCTGTATGTATCTGCAGGGCTTCAATAAACCCAGATGCTACATTGCAACCCAGGGTCCGCTCAGGTCGAGCGTGGAGGATTTCTGGAGGATGATCTGGGAGCAAAACGTGGGCGTGATCGTCATGATCACCAACCTGGTAGAGAAGGCCCGGGTAAGTGCACAGCGCTCGAGCCCAGTGACCTCCAGCCATGAAGCGGTGGGCCAGTGATGCCAACCAGTCATAGGCTGATGGCTGCATTTATTCCATCATGAGTATTAATCTCATTTATCAGGACCTCCTAGTTATGAGGTTGGTGTCACTTTCACCTGTTTCACCAAAATCTTCAACTATGTTTGTGGTCTTGCCTATGATGTTATGGAGATGACTGGTAAATGGTTATGACTGGCATTGGCAGTTTCACTGATAGGCTTGTGAACAATGATGGTGGTCAGTAAAATATATGCTGGTGATGCTTTGGTGTCACGACCAGCGGAAGTGTGACCAGTATTGGCCCCGGGAGAACCAGGAGGAGTTTGGCAGCTTCATGGTCACACTAAGGAGCACCAAGGTCTTGGCCTACTACACCCAAAGAACCTTCACCCTGAGAAACACCAAGGTCAAGAAGGTATAGCCCTTAAACATTTCTGTTTGACATTAAACAACCATTGATATTTTTCTCCTCACATACTTTACCTTGTGTTGATCCTGGTACCTGCAACAGCTGTTACCTGCGCATGAAATTTGTACCGGCAGATGTAAGAGGCCGTTTTCTAACCCCTAGGCGAAGGGCCATGAGCGAACTGTGGTTCAGTACCACTACACCCAGTGGCCCGACATGGGCGTCCCTGAATACGTCCTGCCGGTGCTCACCTTTGTGCGGAAGTCATCCCGGGCTAGAACTGCAGACATGGGGCCCATTGCGGTGCATTGCAGGTATCCCATGTTCTAGTCAACATCTACAGCATCTCCACTTATTCTCTGTGCATCCGAGACTTTGTTCCTGCATGGTTCCTTTTCAGCCTTCTGTCACCCATTTGTTCAAACCATAAGAGTGGACAGTTAGTACGGAAAGAATGAAGCTGCAGGATTCACACTCTTCATCTCCGCTTCATGTTCTAGCGCTGGTGTAGGTAGAACAGGCACCTACATTGTCCTGGACAGCATGTTACAGCAGATCAAGGAGCAAGGGACGGTGAATGTTCTGGGCTTCTTGAAACACATACGAATGCAGAGGAGCTATCTGGTACAGACTGAGGTAAGGATGAGAAGCATCTGACAATGTAATCATCTACAGAAAACTGTGCCGATTCTTCTAATTAGCATTGTTATAATGATGTGAATTACCTTGCTTAGTGATGGTTTTACAGTTGGATAATTTGCTGTAATAGTCATTGAAGATGTTGAAGTCCATGTTGAGTTTGACGACCTAACAGTAATATGGCCTTAATGGACCTTAATGAATCAGCTTCCAAGTCCCTGACTATAACCATCATACTCACTCCTGTTTAATTGCTACTTGACGGCATATTTCTCTCTGGTACAACAGCACAAGTCTTTCTCAAGATAACGCTGACCATTGATTTTTCCTCCTTGTCACCTCGTGCTTTCTTCCAGGAGCAGTACGTCTTCATCTATGACGCCCTGGTGGAGGCCATCTTGAGCAGGGAGACAGAGGTTCTTTCTGCCCACATCCACAGCTATGTGAACAACCTTCTGATTCAGGGGCCGTCTGGCCACACACACCTGGAGAAGCAGTTCAAGGTAGCAGCTGTCTTCCGAGCAGAGGAGACATCTCGAATAACGGTGTAGGAAATCAGCTCAGAAGTGGCCTTCCCGTGGAAACGAAAGCCTAGCAGCTCTGTATAATACTTGGGTGCCTGTTTCCTCCGCAGTTATGAGAGCCCTTTCCATGTAATAACTGAAGTTTTGTGTTTATGTAAACACTCAGTGTGGGTTTACATGCTCCTACAGATGATAACCAAGGTCAACACCAAGCAAGGCGACTACTCTACTGCCCTGAAACCGTGCAACAGGGATAAAAACAGGACCTCCTCAGTCTTTCCTGGTGAGTACCATGGAATTCCTGATTCAGGTCAGCATGGTGACATGGGCATTTTCATTGTCCTCTATATATGCACACCTTTATGGTCAACGCAGCTGCTATGGCAGCCAGGAACTGGACGTTACCACAGCAAAGGAACTGTCTGTTGGTCTTCCTTCCTTCATTAGCTAACATCGACCAAAAGATGGAGCGAATTAATTTCTTACAACCTTTTACCATTCATGTATGTAAGCCTTCAACCACAGCACTTGGTACCTCTGGGTATCTCTTGTGATTTTCAACATGTACATTACAGTGGAGAGATCCAGAGTGTGTCTGTCAATGTTGGCGGGGGAGACATCGGACTACATCAACGCATCCTATGTCATGGTGAGTGGAGTATGGGGCCGTGGTGTTATAGTGACCCCTAGTGCTTGTTGGTGGAATGACAGCAGTTCTGACAGAGTCTACATTTCAGGGATACCACCACAGCTGTGAGTTCATTGTGACCCAAAGGCCACTTCCCAGCACCATGCCGGACTTCTGGAGAATGGTCTGGGATCACAGCAGTCAGGTCATTGTGGCACTGCAAGGCCAGGTGGGTAACTTAAAACAGACCAGAGAAACTGGCCTGGTCCTAGCAGAAAGACTGTAGAGAAATCATTCCCGTTTTGTTGCAACCCCTCAGGCAGAAGATTATGCCTACTGGCCAGCCAGAGGCCAGCCTATCCGATACGAGACGTTCTCCGTCACCTTCACAGGAGAAGACCACATTTGCCTGTCCAATGAGGAGATGCTGGTGGTGCAGGACTTTATTCTGGAGGCCACGCAGGTAACATACGGCACCTGGTGTGTCTATCTCAGCCAAAGGGACCTTTTTGGTATCTACACAAAAAAAATATGATCTTCTGCTGAGCGCACCCTGTTCCTGAGGTGAAGCACTGCCCCTTCACTCAAGAAGTTTGTCTCATTTAGTGGCCGAGTTACAAAAAAACAGTCTCTTTTATAGAATTTAGCTTTAATGTTAATTGGTGCTAAATGACTCTGTGTAAAGTTATAAGGGAATAAGAGACTTAAGTGACTGCCAGGAAATGTGAAAATGGAATTCAATAAACATTTAGCACGCTTCAGCAGAGAGCATCTGTTACTCACCAAGCTGTCAGATCGCCATCTGTACTGGACGGTGAGTAATCACTTCTGCTCACTGCAGACACACACATACACACACACACACACACACACACACACACACACACACACACCAATAGACAGGCATACACACACACACACCGATACACAGGCATACACAAACATGTAAATATGAACGCATGCATGTACATACACACGAATACTCATATGCCCGCATGCATATACATACACCAGGATAGTAAACACATGTAAACGTATACACATATATACATGCGCACACACAGGTGATCATAAACACACCCATGCAGGCACACACACCAATATAGCCACATACATACTTAGCTGTACACACTTGCGTGTTTTATCCAGACACAGACACACTGGCACACAGTGCTTTTTGTGGTTTATGTATATTTTACATTGTGAGGACCAGATGTCCCCACAACGTGATAAAAACCTGTTATTTTGACTGTGGGGATCATTATTTTGTTACCACCAGGGAAGCTCAGTTTTATAAAAATATGTGACTGCAATCAAAAAAACTAAAAATGCCAAAAGTCTTGTATTTTGTTTTGTTACTAATGGTCCGGGTGGGTGGGGATGCAGTGTTGCCTCACACCTCTGCGACCAGGGTTCGAGTCTCCGCCATGGCTCCATGTGTGTGGAGTTTGCATGTTCTCCCCGTGTCATCATGGGGTTTCCTACGAGTACTCTGGTTTCCCCCCACAGTCCAAAACATGCTGAGCCTGACTAGAGTGACCCAATTGCCCATAGAGGTGTGTGTGGTGTGTGTGTGTCGTGCAATGGGTTGGCGCCCCGTCCTGGGTTGTTCCCTGCCTTGCACCCACAGCCTCCGGGATGGGCTCCGGAGCCACGTAACCCCGAATAGGATAAGCAGTTACAGGAAATGGATTGGTGGTCTAAGGTTAGGGTAGGGGTTAAAGTCGTCATAGTTGGGATTAGGGATTTTCCCATAGAGATGAATGGACGGGCCCCAATAAAATATGAATAGATATTTTTGTGTGTACCACGCACTGCCCCCCCCCCCAGGATGACTACGTGCTGGCCGTGCGGCAGTACCTAGCACCTCGGTGGCCCGACCCGGACGGCCCCATCAGCAACACCTTCGAGCTGATCAGCACTGTAGGAAGGACCAGCGCCCCCCAGGACGGACCCATGGTGGTGTACGACAAGTAAGGCATTGTCAGTCAGAGCCTTTAATGTCAGTCGCTTCGTTCACAGCTGTAACAGCGGACATTTCCCACTGTGCGGCGGACCCACTTGCCACCACAAACGTCAAATGCCTCTATTATACAATGGCGGGTGGAAGCTACCGAAATATGTTTTATATGTCTAGGCATTACCCAGCATTCCCAAACTCCTCCTACTCCCCCAGTCTCGATTTACTTCATGCGCAGAAGCTAAACTATTTCTCATGGGAAATTGGAAGAACTTGAGAACGGAGAATGGATGAACGTGGGAGGAGAGATGCGTGTGCGTGTTGATAAAAATGTCCAGAGCGCTGTCTGCGAATTTTCTAGAGTTATTCAAGTGCATATTCATTAAAGTGCCGTATTTGTTGACATGTCTGCATTGTGCCGCTGGTTCCCATCTACAGCCATGGGGGTGTGGCTGCCGCAACCTTCTGCACCCTCAAGACCCTGGTGAACCAGCTGGAGGAGGAGAAGTCCATAGATGTCTATCAGGTGGTCAGGATGACTAACTTGATGAGACCGGGAGTCTTCACAGACATCGTGAGTGGAGCCCATCTGGTGTTCAGTGCCACGTTTGCGCTCTTGGCGTGTGCTCAGTGCCGTTCCCTAACACACCGTAATGCTCCCCTGATCCAGGATCAGTACCAGTTCCTGTACAAGGCCATCCTGAGCCTGGTGAGCACAAAAGAGGACGAGCACACCCTCCACACGGCTGACAATGGCACAGTGCCGGCCCGCACCGGTAATGCCGCCGAGAGCTTGGAGTCTCTAGTGTAACCATGGCAACGGCCATTTGGCACACAACCGCCTCTGAATGAGCTGCATCTCTTATTGACACTTTAGCGGGGGGGGGGCAAACCAAAAGCGTTTAGTCCGTTTCCTGCAAGCCTGTTTTTTTCCTGCCGAAGTGACCTGACATTACTGGACACAGTGTAAGCCTGAACCACGTGCCTTTCTGTAATTCATGTCTGTAACCTTAACTGCTTTGGTTCCGGTTGTGTTAAACTTCAGTAGAGTCTTATTTTGCAAAATGTCTGTTACTAAGCATAAGCTTCTTATTCTGCATTGCTGCTTTCACTAAGATGTAATAAGTCTGCTGATGTCCCTCTTTGACTCTTCCTGTTTTCTATTTCAAATGTAAATAATCACCTTTTCACGACTTTCTTTTGGGATCCTAGCATGGGGAAATTTTAATGTGTATATAGTATGACTTAGAGATCAACAGATCAATATTCTATTTATATGAGTAGATTTTATATTTGACTATCAGTCCAATTTCCTAGACCTTTTTTATTTTTAAATGTACGGCAGCATTCTAACTGTAGTTGAATGGCTGTAAATGATTTTATTTCTGTTACTGTGTTTTATGATTTCCCACATGATGTTCATGTTGATTTTTAAGCCACGATTAGATTAAAATGTAAAAATAACCCTGGCGAAATGTCATGTAGCATAGATGCGCTGGTGCCCGTATTTAATCAGTGGGACAAAACCTGCAGGAAACAAGGGCCAACCCTGTGACATCACGCTCGCAGGGCCAGCGCTGTGACATCACGCTCGCAGGACCAGCGCTGTGACATCACGCTCGCAGTAAACAAACACCAGGAATCAGCCAGGAGTTATTTACAATCACAACCACCATGTATTACAGTGTCTGTCAGCCAGACCCCCCGAAATAAGGACATTCACTTAATTCATTACATAAGGAGTTCATTAAAACAAATTTTTAAATCCATTTTATAATTTCCTGTCTGATTAGTACAAGACAAGGAGAGCATTTCAAAACTCCTGCCTGGCTGTTGTGATGAAGGCCTTTCTCCATTTTAATATCATTGAGAAACCAACGTTAGTCCTTGAGAGATGGATTACGCTTCTGGGAGCTGAAATGGAGGTAAGGAAATGATAAATCCATAGGGCAAAGGGTGACTGTGATTAATGTCTAGTCTGTAATCCAGTCTAAGACCACGGAAATGTTCATTTTGCTGGGATAAAATAGGCTGTGTCCAGACAGAATCTTAAACATTCATCATAGCGTCATTTACATCCCCAGTAGGAGGTTGGATATTTTCAAGTTCAGAGTTTTGAGGAATGCAGCATGGTGTACAATACTCCTAATATTGAATGATATATAGAATATAGGCTTTTTCCTTCAGATAATCCATGCACAGAACCGTGGTATCATGCATTTTGACCAATCAGATGGTGGTGATGCAACCTGCTGGGTTTGGTCACGCTCTCGGCCCTGCTAGTAGGCGTGGGACTGTTAAATATTCTTGGGGGGGTAACCCCACCACCAGGCAAACCAAGTCTTACTTGCTGGTCAAAAATTTTAATAGTGACACTTTAATAGTCTTAGCTGCCTTTTGCAGGTTGTTTATTCTTTATGAAGGACAATTATATTATATACCATGTTATATATACCCATGTTATATATACCATATTATATATACCACATTATATATACCCATGCATTGCTCCCCTGGGTGCTAAATGGTAGCTACCTACTGCTATGTCACATATAGTTTAAATGCAGAGGACACATTTCACTGTGGTGTGCAACAACAATGATACTTTCACTGTGTTACATTATTTGGCAGATCATTATCTTTGCACCTTAAAAGTGGAGAGTGGAGAGTGGGGAGTGGGGAGTGGCTCAGCAGGTTAAGTCTCTGTGCCTGTGATCCAGAGGTCGCTGGTTCGAGCCTCAGCAAAGAGTAATTGTTCTATAGTTACGTTATCCGGCAGACCATTATGTTGACCACTTAAGGCTAGGTGGTCAGAGGCTGGATGGTGGCGCGACGCACTAAGTGTCCATCCCTATGATCCAGAGGTCACTGGTTCAAGCCTCAGCAAAGAGTGACATCCATCTATTATGCTACGTTATCCGGCAGACCATTATGTTGACCTCTTAAGGGTAGGTGGTCGGTGGCGCGACGCACTAAGTCGCCGTCCCTGTGATCCGGAGGTCGTTGGTTCGAGCCTCAGCAAAGACTAATTGTTCTATAGTTAAGTTATCCGGCAGACCATTATGTTGACCCCTTAAGGGAAGGCGGTCAGAGGCTGGATGGTGGCGCGACGCACTAAGTCTCTGTCCCTGTGATCTGGAGGTCGCTGGTTCGAGCCTCAGTAAAGAGTGACATCCATCTATTATGCTACGTTATCCGGCAGACCATTATGTTGACCCCTTAAGGGTAGGTGGTCGGAGGCCGTCCCGTGAAACATTGTAATGTATTTGTGCAAATGACAAATAAAAAGTAAAGAACAGAGTTAGTAACTACCCAGGGTGGGGATCCTTACTCAAGGGCCCAACTGTGGAATTACTCTGCCAACTCTGGGACTTGAACCTGCAACTTTCTGATCACAGGCATAGCAGCTTAACCCACTGAGCCAGTGTCCCCCAAACCAAGAAGGATTTCCTATCCACAAATCAATGACAGCTGACAAAACAGTAAAATACACCAGACTATCTGTATGGCCCTTGGTGTTAAGGTAAGGTGGGGCCAGGAAGCAGGCTGGCGTGTCTGAGATTTGGTCTACAGGCCTCGCCTGTGTCGGGGCAGGTCCTACTGATGCACAGTCCTCTGGCCGACAGTCGCTGCAGCACAGGGCCATAGATACTCCTGCTGAGAGGCAGCACCAGGCCCTTCCTCTCGATCTCACCTGTCCAGTAACAAGTTAACATTTCACTTCTAAGCAAAAAAGCCAAGGCAGCAAAAAGTGAATCAGCTTTCAGATACGCATGTAAATGGCACCCAGGGAAACAAGTACAAATCTCAGGTCGGCGCCTCTGATGTGTCGGCCACCGGGCTGGGACCCTTACCATCCATCAGCATGCGAGCGACAATGGCAGCAGGGAAGCCCACGGTCCTGGCCATAGCAGAGTGGCCGCCGGGCTCTCCGAAGAGAAGTAGCTCCGCACGGCGGGTCTCCAGCTCCCCGCCATGGCCACGGACTCCCACCTCGTTCCTCAGAATGACCATGTCCCGCTCACCCGGCTCTGCGTTAGCAAGTCAGGCAAGGACAGAAGGGAGAAAGGAAAATAAAATGCATTTATATGCCTTGATATTTTCTACTTTAAGAGTTGCAAAAGAAATAATATCCTTAGAGCAAAATTAATGCTAAATGAAAATAACTGATATGCATGAAACACCTACAGAACAGCTGTACTTTGGAAACTTAACAAAGGTATATCCATATTATTCATTAGTTGCATACTCATATTCACATCCAGCAAAAATCAAAGGCTATTCTGCATTATAAAATAATATTAAGTATACAACAGTCTGACTAAAGCACATAAATTCATCTGTTGTACTGTTGTGGCTGATATCCTTATAACAAGTAAACAAAACTGATTAAAAACACGGTAGATGTACACAAAGATGTACACATTCCATTTATTAACATTTTCAAATTAATCTGAGACTTAACAGAAATACCTCCTCTGATGACCAGGCATTACAGATTCTAAAACGTTTTACATATTGCACAGTGTCAGTGCGGTCAGTGACCTCTGAGGGTCACCGTTTGCGAGGCATCACACACAAATTAATGACACGTCTCCA